CCAACCTTCGGCATTCTATGATTCTATGATTCTATGATTCTATGATTCTATGATTCTATGATTCTATGATTCTATGATTCTATGATTTCTAAGTATATATATGAATTTATATATATATGAACACATTTGTTATCAATGTATATATGTATACATGTAAATGTATATACACATATACATATAAATATATGTACACATTTAATAGAAGAGAGATTGTCTACTTACACTTAATAGGAGAGACATTGCCTACTTGGTTACCTAATCTACTAAAAAGAATGTAATTCAGCTAGCTAATGAACGCAGAAATAATGTATTAAAATTCTCATTCAGGTTAATATCATTGATTTCAACAGCAGTTGGATGAGGCTGTCCTATGATTTGGATTTTCAGAACAGAAAATTATCTAACCAGAATAAAATACCTGGAGTCTTGAAATTTCTCAGCTGAGARGGAGTGTCACAGATTTCCAAGATCCAGTCACCTGCTGCTTTTTCGCTCCAGCAGTGAGTAGTCATAAACTCCCAGTTTTTAAATCCTTCCATGGAATGATCAAATAACCTAAAATAAATCAAGACATTTGTGTAAGTACTTCTTTATTAGTGGAACTAAGCCTCTAAGCGTGCAGGATTTGATGATACTCTAATTAGCCACTCTATTCATCCCCATCTTTACAAAATATTAATCATRATGGTTTTCCATCACATATTTCAAATATATGTTCCAGTGTGTTTTGATGGAGAAGATCCCTACCATGTTGTCATTTGTCATATTGTGAAAGAGAACGCAAAGAGGATTCCCTGAAAATAAAATTGCTAATAGGGACCAATGGAAAGAACATGGCTCCAGAAAAATGCACAGAATATAGCATATGCTTTGCTTTAAAATTACAATGTAAATACCAACAAGTTTAAGTTGGGAAAGTTCTGTAACATTTCTCTTTTTTACTTTGGACTGAAGYACTGAAAAGGGACTTAAGAAAACAAAAGTATTAAGTGTCTGAGACAACAAGAGCAACTTAATAGATGTGATTCCTCATGAGGAAATCAAATACATCTGATGCTTTGGTTTCAAACCTGAAATGATCAAGGTATCACACTGTTCAAACACTTGACAAGACTGAAATTGGCTAAAATTGAGAGGCTAAAGACATGATGATTTCATCTTGCTAGCAATATTACCATAATTTAATTATTTAGGTCTTGAGTGAAGAGGTTGGAGCTCAGGCCTGTATTACAGTAGTTTCTAGCATGGGAGGCCCAGTTCAAAGGCTGCAATGCGGTGCTGATGGGGTGCAGGAAGGGAAAGGTGGAATGGCTGGAGATTTTACTGCCTAAAACTGGAATTTATTAATGAGATTTTGGAAAGCCACAAGAGAACCTTCACTTTTATTCAGCACTCACAGCATGCTGCCTGCTACCCCAAAGCTATTGATGGGAGGTGCCCTCTATTAGAGACTGCTGCCTCTAATAAAAATGGTACAGCTCAGCTTTAAAAGAAGTATGTGTATACATATRTATATATAATATATATATAAAGAGATGTGTGTGTGTGCGTGTGTGTGTGTAGTTTTAGATCTCCCTCTCTCTCTCAGAAAGGCAGAAGAAGAAATGCTACAGAATTAGAAATATCACCATTTTAATTTGTTCTTCGTATGTTGAAATTCCACTGRTCATAGCTGTTTTTTCATAAATACATGATTGCTACAGTAGAAAATCAGTGGGCTTAGAGCATTTCCATAAAACTGTGAGCAAGCTAGTGAAGGAATACAGAAATGATATCATCTATCTTTAAAAAATATTTTACACTCACTTGATTCTGTATCGTTAGTTTCCAAACACATTTCAAGCTTTTTTTTTTTTTTGAAAAGGTTGTGAAATTCAGTGTGCAAACATTGGCAAAAATGACTTTTTGTGGCAACATTTTGCCAGGTTCTGCTGAAAATATTCACGTAAGATGCGTATGATAAAAGGCCATTTTCTTGTCAAAATATTTGGTCTGTGACCCGGGACCATGAGCAATGGGTGGGCCTACACATTCAGAGAGCTCTTCAGTAGGATGCAGATCTTTGGTATCCTTGTAGGATTCAGCTAATACTTATTTCCTCTCTTTCTTTTGTGCAAATTTCTTCTATCGGATATGAATGTCTAAATGGTACTCTATTTATTAATCTTGGTAACATTTATTGAAAATTCATTAAAAACAGCCTGTATTTTCATTGATAATTGGCTGGGMTTTTCTTCCAGTTCAATTTTGTAGACAGAAGCATGCCAACAGAATTGGTCTGTTTCATGTCTGTTAAATCAGTTGTTTAAATACAATAAATTTCACAAACACACAGTACACACCATTTCTAGAAAAGTAGRTAGATATTATCTAACTAGTTATTACCCAGTTTTTGCATGCGAGTTTTTGCATGCAAGTATGTCATTACATAGGTTATTTCCATCAAATTGTCACACAGTGTTTTGCTGATAAATGATGTATTACTTTTTAAACAATCTGTCAATCAGTCAACACAGTAGTACTTCTTTTTGCCATTACGGCTACCAAATCACATAGTATTATATAAATACCATGCAATTATATTTGAAATTCCATATTCATTGGACTTGCATTCACATACGTAGAAACACCAGTTAATACTTATTTTGACTGGAATTAGTCTGACATTTCCCACAGCATCCTGTGTTTAAATAYGTTTATATGCCATGTTTTGGCATTTTAAAATGCTGTCAGATTTCTATTTTAATCTTGCTTTATTCTTTTAAGTCTTTTGGGGAGGAAAATACAAAATTCCCTTATGACTTGGCCTTAGATATACAAAAACACCTCTGCCTAAAATCACTATGGCTTAAACAAGCTTTCAAATTGCCATCATATATATTGGTAGGGGAAAATATAGCARTATTATTTCACAGGAAATAAGACAGTTTTTGGAAAGAAAACTTCCCTAAACTTGTTAAGGACCATAATCCTATAAAATAAGATATAAATTTGATTTTTTACTGCATAAATTAAATTTCTACGAATGATACCAAAAAGGAGGCAAAAAGCCACAGACTCAGATCAAAAAAGATATATATATTTTTAAAAACGTTTAAGGCTATAAAGATATGGACTCTGGTGTTATCAGTATGTATATGCTGTACATACTCAACAGACCAAGCTCATGTTGCTCTGCTCAAGCACTAAACTCTCAAATCAAAATAATGTGTGAAGTGCTACATACACTTCCCCTTTAGTGTTGCTAGTGAAAGGATGAAATGATAAAAACAGTTAGAGAGAAGTTATGGCATACTTTCCCTATTCAGAAAGAAGGACATATAAAACAGGATCTTTTAAGAAAGACTGAGACACTCCAGGGGGTTAATTGCTTTTGTTATTTGTCAATTCAATGCTAAATGTATATTTATGGGTGAGTGTGTATATATATATATGTATATATATATTATTTATATATATGCACACACACACTTAATCCATATTAGTATACGGTCTAATAAATTGTTAGGTGACAATTATAGGTTGTTATAGAATTGTTTAGCAAGATCCCTAAAATAATCTGATAATTTTAATGGTTATGCCCACATGCGTCTACAACACCAGCACTTATAACATGCTTTTAACTACTAGAATGGCAACTCTTCATAAATTATTTGTTAACATAAACACAACAGAAAGACCCATCTGTTATTCACTCATTCAAGTGACCTTTTTTGATAACACCACCTTAAAGATGGGCTGTGACTAACTTCTGAGAGACTAATTTTGGGCTGCTGCTAGCTATAAATAAAAATACACTTAAAAATAACGATTCTTCTCACTCTGAGTAATTTGATGATATGTACTTCACTTCTTATATGCAAGTCTGTAAGAGAATACATATGCTTACAGAGTATAGACTAAAACATTTCCTTAAAATAAGTTCAGGTTGTTAAAATGTCTTTATCTCTTCTACTGTCACTATCTTAGCCTAGAAACTTCATTCTCTTTCTGTTTAAGAATTTAACTTGAAGCAGAAATATTCATATATAATCAAATTTTAGAAGCAGAGGAAGACAAGTATCTCCTTTCAATAGATTTCACAATTGAGAACATAAGGCTAGTCTCTCACAATTAGATCTGCTAGCAATAAAAAAAAATGCAAGTGTTTTAGATTTTTAGCAAACCTCTGTTTTACCTGGTGAGCAAAAGCAGTTGGTGCAGGGCTTCCATTTGGTAAACCCCCAACTGGCTATTACACACAAAAAAGGTGCACCAAAGGAAATTTTTTTTATTATTACTCACATCTTTTTTCATTTTTTTTTTCCCCCAGAAGGTGCAGCTGAGCCTGACTGACAGCCATGCTCTGCACACTGAGCTGACTGCAATGGGAGCCAGAACACGTGCAAGCTGCTGGTGACTGGCCACTGGGGCTGAGAGCTCTAGAGGCAGCTGGGAAGAGGCACCCGTTTGTCACGTCTTCAGGTTCTTGGTTATGATGTGCCCAAGCCTACTAAATCAGAGGTCTGACAGGCAGGTAATCTTCTCCTGGGCTAAAGGGCTGCAAGGCTTAATGTGAGGTGGAGTTTTGGGTGGGTGAGTGTGTCTGCCTGAGCCATGCACTTGCAAGTACTTGGGTCAACTGGTCTCCTTGCAGCAGCCTTTCTCTGCATGGCAATTGCTCCAACCTCCTGTCAGCAGCAAAACACAACCTATGAGCAACCACAGGCAGCCTGGACTGATTAGCCCATGCATTCAGCTAGGCACATTTACACTCAAGTATTCATGAGATGAATGCTTCCATGAAATAGTTTGTGGTAAGACAGGCACTTCAGAAGCTTTCTCTCCTCCCTATGGCAGATGTCTGAAACTTCTAGAGATATAAAAGGTCTTGTAGATTTAAAAAAATRAAAGTACTTGAAAGTTACACATATGCCTCTGTTTTTAAAAATGCCTTTTGGATTTGGTTATCACATTTAATTTTAAGAAAGCAATCCAGATCTCAGTTTGAGCTCAACCTGAGCATGAAAAATTTGCTTGGGGGAGAATAGTGGGAACAGCAAGGCACAGGACCACAGAGCCTGAAATAGTGTTGAGTGCAGCAAGCATCAGCTTTGAATATGGAGAGCTTGTCCCCAAAGACTAGACATATTAGAATGAAATGATCTGTTTCTACCCGAAGGCATGTCAAGTTGATGAGCTTCACACGCTGCACTGGCCAGCCAGCTGCATGGTTCACAGTTACCTTCTTTAAAGCTGTATTTTGTTTCCTCCTGAATTGCAGTAAATCTCCAGGAATCTCACTTTAAACATGCATAAATCCTAATGCAACAGCATGACTGAATGTGGTACCATTCAGTGTGCAGTATATATGCACACTTTTTCTAACCATCATCCGTTCAGGTCTGAAAAGGAATCTCTGATTAAGGTAAGGATGGTAGAAGAAAGTTACTGTGCTACACACAATCAAATTAATTCCTGCCACAACTCAGTGCGATAAGTATTATTATACTAGGAYGGAGCCAGGCCTAGCTATTAGAAAGCTAGAAAAAGGCCCAGTCATCCTTGCCTGGATG